TCACAACCCCAGAGCAATCAGAGCTATTGGACTTGTGTCACAACTAGACGCTTATCCACTTGCTAGGCCCCTCCTCAAATCTCTGAAGTTGTGGCCTGGGAGGTCAGGCTTTTGCAACCTTTTGTGCAGTTGCACTGCTCAGCACAGAGCAGAGTAAATCATGCTGGGCAGTGTGCCAGGACACGCTGTACCAGGTCGTAAAAGAAGCACCCTCCTGGAGGGAGCGTGCCAGAGGGCTGCCTGGAGAAGCATGCAGCTCAGGGCACCCCATGCTATCGGACTTCCTCCCCATGTACCTACACACCCTCCTGCTGTCAGCAGAACCCATGATTTAGGAGAGTTTTAAGCAAAATTTTTCGGTGTGTAGCTCATGCACTTGGCTGTGCACGCATCTTCTGGTGTGGTCCTTTAATCTGCAAGTGTGCCTTGCAGCACTGATTGTCTCTCATATGTATTTAAAATTACTCACCTGAAGACTCTCCATCTCCATGTTGTTCTGTGATAGCAGCATCCCTGCACGGCTGAGAGGGAATGACACATCAATAGATATTTTGTCAACTTCTGACAGCTTCTTGGGTAAAAGCAAACAAGCAGAATACCTGGTTCTTAAAGAAAAATGAGGGAGGTGTAGAACAGTCAATAACAACTTCATAGTTAAAAATGAAAAAATAAACCCATTTTTTGGTACAGGCACCCCCACCATTACATTATCACTAGAACAGCCCAGATTTCACAGTGACACTTATAGCTGTATTTGATCTCTCCATCACAGGTTTCCTCCCCAGCTGTTCAGCTATTCCCATGCTTTCAAGGGAAGACTGAAGCACGGTGACATCTCCTGTATTTCTCTGAGAGTTCTGGGATATGTGTGTTCATGTGTGCAGATATGTGCGTATACCTGTCCATCTCTGTTCTTTTGCCACACCTGCCCAAGGCTTGGTGGTCTTTGTATGTTTTTTCCAGGAAAAAGCTTCTGATGCTTTTTCTGCCCCAGTCTGAAATGGAGACAAAGCCAAGTGCAGTTCTTGGCTTGGCATGTAGCTAATCCTAGTGATACTGTGACCCAGGAAGGAAACCCACCCAAGAGACATCTGTATCTTTATCACATGATGAACGCTGCTTTTGGAATGCCAGATTAGCATAATTTGTCTGCAAGAATATCAGACACCCTTCATTAGCTCAAAGCTAAACAATATTTCTGAAGAGCTGTTTGTGGTTTGCTTTTTCTCTTTAAAATATTTTTTCCTTTTGAATTTGAGTCTTTATCTCCAGGGCCCTCGTGGCTCCAGCATGTCAGATGACTGCAGTCAGCCTGCTGACTTGGAAGGGAAGAGCACTGGCCACACTCCATGCCAGTGATGAACCACTTTGTAGGGCTGTGCAGAAGAAAGGCACTAGTGGTTGACATGAATGTCTCTATAGAGAAAAAGGCACTAACCACACTGTTCACACTCACTACTCACATCACCTAACATCAACATCTTTAAATTATCACTCAGATAAAAACTATTGCTGACTTAGAAGTCATTAAAATGAGGAGCGCCATGCTGAGGTGGGATGCCTTGAGGGTCCTCAGCTTTGGCTCTGAACCGTATTGCCTCCCAAATGCCACAGCCTCTAGGTAGCTGCTCTTATCTTCAGTGAACAGAGGACAGCAAGAGCAGGCCCTTGTCCCTCAAAGGACAGTCTTTGAGGCCCTCAGAGGGAGCCACAAGGCTTTGTGCCTGAGCAAATGTGGCCAGCCTTGCTTCTGGCCCCTGATGAGTAATGCCGCAAGCCCCTCCAGCCCAGGAAGGTGCTAGTTCAGAGGCTGGCCCCACGAGTAGACTCCCTGATGCAGTCAAATGGCATGGTCTGTTTGCTGGGTCAGAGCCTGCACATGTCCCATCTGGTTTGGGAAATAAAGCAAGCAACGTGTTTCAGCCTAGAGCACCATTTCCAAGGGACCATTTTCACTTGTTCAGTTCAAACTCAAAACAAAGCACCACAACACACACTATTTGTAAGTCAAATCCATACCTGAGCCGAGGTTTGAGGACTCACACAAAACTTCCAGCGGGTTCTCCCACCAGGCAGCTAAAGGGCAGAGGTTCTTGAGGCATCGCCATGATTAATGACTACAGCTCAGGAGAAGCAAAGCTGCCGTGGGGACAACCTGACTTTGGTTAAGTTGCAGGGAACTAAATCCATTCTTCAAATTGAGGTAACTTAAAAAATGTCATTCTTAACAGTTATTCCTGGAGGGAGCAAGGAGAAGAGGGGGAATAGTTTATCACCATCTTTCTATTTAACAAGTTTTGGGGTTGGAAGTGTTAGGATATCTGCTGACACTAATTTATGTGATTAAGCAACTCTGGGCCATACTTCAAATATGGAAGGAGAAATGAAAGTTATCCTCATCCTTATCCTCATTTTTTTGTCGTTGTTTTGTTTTTTGGCAGGACATGTTTTTCACTCAGGAAAGATTTTAATTGGGGACAGATGAAAGAAAGAGAGGGCACATTCATGTATTTATTTTCTGACAGACCATGAAAAAAAATTAAGAGTGATTAAACCAACAAACTTTCTTTAATAAATTAATAGCAGCATCACAAAACCCTGATGTGAATGACCCAAAGGAAGCTGGGTAAGTGACAGTATTTAAAGTATTTAACCATTCACAAAAATTTTATCACCTGCTGGCCGGGAGAGAATGCAGGTGCTGTAAGGCAGTCCCCTTGTGTGTTTATCTAAACAAGTGACATACATCAGAACGGGTCCAGCTGAGTAGCCGCAGTTGACATATTTACAGTTCTGATGCTGAATTTTTTAAAAAGTTTATAAAAATTCTGTAAATTCTCTGTTCAATTCTCATTATTTACATCCAAATATAGTAGGTTCCCTTTTTTGCCCATACAACAGAACTGGCAAGTGTGAGACATGAAGGCTCCTATGTGAAGACAAAGCCTGTGTATGGACTCCTAGTAAGTTTGAGGATGCTGTGGAAAATGAGCTATTCACACATGTGCTAGAAGCTACTGTGATTCAACTTATTGCTGAATGCTTTCAAAGTCAGTGGCTGGCTTTTAAATATATATATGTGTATATATATATGTACAGACTAACACATATATATATATACACACACATATACATGTTTGGAAAAGATATGCTATGAATTCATTCAAGGTAAAAAAAGAACTTAAAAAGCAGTGCAATCTTTCTGATTTTTCTGTACTGTTTGAGATAATCAAATCTGACTCAGAGCAAAGGGCAGTCACAGGTTTGTGTCTCTGGCCAGTCCTTTTCCTACTGGTTGCCAGACCTTTTTGGAGAGGCAAGTGGATTCCCAAGCATTCTAACCCATGGAGGTATCAGCAGGCTGGGGCATGGTGCATCTCTGCTGCCTTCTGCAAGCAGTAAGCTACACTCTGCACTGGGATACCTCGCCTGCCTGCACGGAAGTATTACGGTTTCTTCCTGGGAGGGGATGAGGGAGAAAAGAGGATCAACTTCAACGCATCAAGCTGGGAGCAACCTAGCAGTAGATGCAACCCCTATGTTGTGTTTTGGTAGTGGTCTCAGTGAGGTTGTTGCTGCACACAGCAATGCAACAGCACAACGTTACGCTAAAGCACTAGCAGAATTTCCCATTTTTTCTACAAGTTAATTTTGGTGGGATGAACACAGCAAGCTTAGAGTACAAGCAGTTCATGTTAGTAAAATGCAATTTATCCATGCCTAGTGTAAGCTTTTCTGTTCTGAGGATTTTCGTAGCCAGAGGTTGTCAGTGATGTTAAATGAATCCATGTTATATTGGCACTGCAGCATCTGTGCATTAGTTAACGAAGATGTGAAAACCTTATGGGTGATAACTGGCATGAGACAATACTCTACACAAGGAAAACTGCACGAGATGCATCACTCCAGAGGCATAGTGACAGAAACACATGATGCCTTGGAGGGTTTGTCTACACAAGAAATAGAGGCAAATTAATTCAAATTATACATGGTGTGAATTAAAAGCAGATTACTTAAACTGCACTAAATCCCAGTACAGATGCTTTCATTAAGATGTAAGTGGTGTTAATATGATATACTATAATTTACTTTGGGAATGAAATGGAATATATAAAATGTAAAGTTAATCCAGGTTAATCTTCCATGTAGTCTACCTCCATGTCTGTTTCCTTCCTGTCCCTAGTCATTGCTTTTGAACCACGTCACCAGCAAATTGTTCCAGTCATGTACTCTGTCCAGCTCTGCCTACCCCCTACTGAGACAAGAGAAATGAGCAGGGACCTTTGGTTATGCCTTTCTCCCAGCATTCCCCAGGGAGACGTATCCTGCACCTCACAGCCTGGTCTCAACCAGCACCACACGCACAGCAGCTTCTGCTCTATGCCCAACACAGCGGTTTTATCACCAGCACTGCAAGTCCCAGGATGTTAAAAAATAAAAGCAAGTGCTAAACAGGCTAAGGAATAAATAGATGTGAGGACCAAGAAGACAAGAGCTCTTATAAAGACAGAGAGCTTTGTCTCCAGGTCAGCCAAAGACCCTGGTCATCTGAGCAATGTGTGAAGGCAGTGCCATCCACACTGAGCACAGCTGGCTCCATCCCAGAGCTGAAGATTATCTATAAGACCAAAGGAGGGGTTTTTATAAATCTGAGGCCATCCATTTATAAAATGGTTGAAATAGATATTTGGGGGTTGCTCTGTTGCTCATGCTTCTTCTCCAAGTGTGCAAGTGATCCCAGCCAGGATCGCAAAACCACACTAGAACTGTATTCCCCACCTTCCTTAGGGGAGACAGAGCCTCCTGCGGAATAGAAAAAAATAGCAGGATTGGAGAGGGAGTTTTAACAGAGGGCCCTTGAAGTGCAAGGTTGCCACAGCAAGCCACTACCCATAACAGGTCATGTCTGGCCAGGTGCCTGCACAGCCGCTACGCTTTCGTGGTGTCTCTCTGCCAGGTTTCTGTAGAGTCTTTACACGGCACAAATAGGGGTGAGGATTTAAAGTATATATTTACTGTCAACTTGAAAAAGAAAGTTATACTGACCAAGTCTAATAGCATGTATTTGATTTATAACTATTAACGTGCCATTCTGGACTCCAGCAAATGCCACCTGAGATAAATATTCAGCATTTTTGTTCATGCACTGGAAGAAGAATTCAAACATTTTGTCCATGACATATGCAAAGTAACTAATAGTTCTGATCTAGAATTAACAGTAAATATAGAACCTTAAACTTCACTGCAGTATATTAATATATATGATTTTAGGTACTCTACTGGAAAGACAACTCTTCTTTTTCTTTTTTTTTTTTTTTAAAAAAAAAGCTTTGTTCAGAATGCAGTATTTACATTGTCCTTTGACCAACACTTACATTTTTACACAATATATTTTGGCTACAGACACACCGTAGCAAAAGGCTGTGTGAGCCACCTTTACACACAGCTCACTCTTTCGCTTACAACATTACAGCTGTTTATGGAGACCTCTGAAGTCCCTGGTTGCATTTCAAGGCCCTCCTCAGCTTCGTCTAGTTCCATGCTATTGAGTTCATTGCCATTTCGATAACTAGTTAAAGTCAGATCTTTCCCATATAAAGCTGTTGAAGCAACATTCAGACACTGATTCTGCCGCAGTCCTGATTTTTTACTCGTCTTGTATTGGCAACGGATGTAATTGGAAAAAGCCCTGCGGTACGTTTTATTGAAGAGTGTGTATACAAGGGGATTAACCCCAGAGCAAACGTACCCCACCCAAACAAACACATCAAGGAGCTCACTCAAGAGGTCTTTATCGCAGGCTTCCTTGCAAAGGACAGACATGACATTAGTGATGAAAAATGGGCACCACATGATGAGGAACAAAAAGAAGACAATGCCCAGGACCTTGGAGGCTCTTCGCTCATTGTTGATGGACTGCATTGTTCCTTTCCGAAAAAGCACTGCCTCCTTATTTACAGGAGAGTTCAAGTGGGATGCCCCCTCGTGATTGTGAAGCATTGAAACGTTCTCTGTGTTGTTTTCCTTCTTGAGGCAGTTTACGCTGCTCCTCCTCTGCTTGGGCACCTCTCCACACATGAACACTGTTGCCTGTCTCTGCAGCACCTGGACGGTCAGGCAATATGTGATCACCATGATGATGAGAGGGATGAAGAATGCCATGAAGGATCCAATGAGGACGAAGTTCTCATCATTGAGGACACAGGTGCCATTTACAAACACTCTGGAGTCATCCTGCAGACCAATGACTGGAATGGGCATAGATATCCCTAGAAGGACAACACGAAAAAAAAAACTGTTACCTGGATGGATGAGGCTGCAAAGAGGTAGCAGAGATGATGCAGGTACTGCATGAATTCAGCCCGCTGCCTAAAGGTGTTCGAAAGAGAAGTTACTACTCCCAGATGGAAGGGAAAACCTCGTGTAACAACACTTCTGGGAGCACAGTTCCAGGGCATGAACACCCTCCACTGGGAGCAACTGCAGCTTTGTTGTGCTCCACCGCTGACAGTGAATGCAGCATAACTCCTTTATCAAGTTCTTTTTCTAGTACTAATTGTGATTTCTGGGTGTAGAAAAGGCAGTCATTACCCTGCTATATTTCAGCTGGTCACTCCACACCTGGCAGTTTGGGGAGGTTTAAAGTCACTGATATGGGGGAGATAGTAGCAAATTTTAAGGAGGAAGATTATCACAATGCAAAAGAATTACAGCTATGAAGATTTAGAAGCAAGTTTCTTAAAAGACATTAAAATAACACTGGTAGAAAAGTGGCTGCTTTTGCCATGGCATCATGGACACATGGAAGAAATGCTCCTGGCTTTCTGGGTCCTTATCGACTCTCTCGGTGCCAGCAGACAGTGGTCTCCGCAAGCTCTGCCTGCCAAGGCATTTCATCCACAAGCGATGTGAAACTGAGAAGTACCACAGAGGCAGTCTTGTTTGAATTCTTAGAGAAGGCAATTACACAGCCAAATGAAAAGGCTGCAGCACGCTTCTGTCTGCTTTCTATCCCTCTGTCTTGAATACAGGGCTAAAAACTGGAACAACAGGCAATGTGAGAGTAGAAAAGGTGTAACTAAAATGGTAATCAGATTGACATGATGGTCTGAAATCAGAACCCCAGCTGGCAGCAATTTACTGTGGGGAGAGAAAGAAGAGAGAATACAGGACTCATGCCAGAGTACTGGATCTCACTTGAGTATTTTTCATGTGTACTGAGATCCAAACTTTGTCCCTTGATCTGTGGAGCTCAGTCCCACACCAGGACAGACCTGAAACCTTCCAGAGAAATCTGTCTAGATACAGCCAAAACCAACAAAAACCACAACATATTTTGGAATACCACAACCTATGTGAATGTGTGAACATGAAAAAGATATGGTGGGCCAGATCTCGTTAGACCATCATGGGCTCATCTAGCCCTGTCTCATGTCTTTGGCAGGTACTATAAGTTCAGGGCCATGGTATAAAATAAGGCAGCTGTCAGCATTACATCTTAGAAAATTCCACAGCAAGAAGTTGCATCCACACCTTGTTTTTAAAATAACCTTTGAGAGACCTATTTTCCATGAATTTTTGATCTCATTTATAACTCCACAATACTCAGTGGCACTCAGTTCCACAACATGTCTGTGAACATGTATTTCTTGCTCATTTTAAATTTGCTGCCTGATAATTTCCTTTGACTCCCCTCAGTTCCTCTACTGTGACAAACTGAATAATCACTCTCTGGTCACCTTTTCCACCTGCTCAGTGATTTTATCATCCCTACTGTCTGACATCTCCTTTGAAGAATGCTCTTCTATTTACTCTCTCCTTGTGCCAAACTCATTTTATGCCATTGAGTACGTTTCTCCATTTCTTTTCAAATTCCTCTCTGTCCTTTTAAAGAAAGGAAGAAAACTGCACATCCCAGCAGTTAGAGAGCAGCAGAATGTCTTTTGTTCTCCCCTTCCTACCCTCTGGCCACACAGCTGTCCATGAGCATTCACTCCACCAACATGTCTGTGGGACTGGCCATGCCCTTCCTTAGCTCCTTCACCCGAGAAATAAATGCTGAGGCCACTGTTGGGTCTGGATTTCTCTTTTTGGGTTGCTGTGAACTGCACAGGTCCTGGAACTAATCCTGTGGGATTCCGAATTTCTAAACAGAAAGAGTAACATGCTAAAGAGATTAACCAGGGCATTCTTCCCATTCTAGCTAAGTGTTTTCCAGGATTCTGGAAAATACATCTGCAATTTGTCATTATCATAAAATTACCATTTGCCAGTAATCTAGTGAAGGAATTTCTTCTGAAAAGTAATGATTATGAATACCATCTGTGACTACAGCATGTGATTCCTTAGCCCAAGTGATAGTTCCAGGATTCAGTCTTCTTTCCTTCTACATGTTAATGTTCATCAGCTTATCCTTGGCAAGGCAGTTGCCTCCTTTCTGATATATTAACCCCTGTTACCTTGCCTGTGCCCAATCCCTGTGACTGCAATAACCTTCATCTCATCAAGCCTTCGACTCTTTATCATTAAAGATATCTTTCTAATGCCTTGGCTCCATCAAACCACAGACATTCAGGAAGTGGTGGAAGATGGACAAAGCAGTTTTTACAGAAAGAATAAATCTGAATTAGATTAATGGCATTATGCTGGGATTATATTTGCATGGGTAATTTTATGCTTTAGAGCCCTCTATAATAACACATGCCCGTTGAAATAAAACTCCAAAATGAATAAAGGTTATTCATGAAGTACTCAACATCGAATTTAATGTCATTGCTTTAGCCGAGGGAAATGAAATGAGGTTTCAGGATGTCTTCATGGTCACAGACATAAAGTATATTTGGGAAGAATAACCTAGTTCTGGGATATGACCAATATACCAACCAAGGGCACCGATGGCAGACTGGAACTCTACATGAGCATGAGATACCTTAGCATTGATGACAAGGAATGAGAAGGTAGCTGCTGTAATGGAAAGTGTCCCTCACCTCTCTCATAACAAAGTGGGATTTCAAACTGAGAAAGTACAGAAGAGAGGTCTTTGTTTGCTCTTTCCTCCAATGCAGGCAAATCCCATCGTTAACAGCAGAAGGAAGAAAGATGCCCTCGGAGGTCCTGCCAACACACATTCATTCAGCTGCCAGCTAGCCTACAGCTCTGCTGAATGGGCAGCATTACCCTCATCTCAAACACCTTTTTCTGACTCGCACTTGTCCTTTGTAACGCATTCTTTAATACAAGATTTATCACTGATCCACCCCACAATCCAGCCCTAAAGGGAACTAAGTCGGTTAAACAACTTGGGCAACAGAGACTAATTCTACTGTACAATTTCTACTGCCACAATCCCAAATGCACAAATACCTGCTTGCAGACACAGCTCATACCCTGGCCCTGATTTCAATAGGGTTACCCTGATCAGTACATACTGTGCTTACCACTAAGCACTCAAATGGTGCCTGGACGTGGTTAAACATGAATGCCTGCCTTGAGTTCAGCTGTTTGAACAAGCGTGGAGAAGGCATTCAACTCCACTTGACTCAAGCAACCCACAGTACTAACACTACGGTTGTAACTGTCCATAATTTAAGAAATAAGGTCAGTTGATCAGAAAAAGCCAAACTCACTACACCAGCACAAGGATGGTGAGTGCTAAATCAAGGAAGAGGCTCCAAAGCCTACTGCTGTCCAGTCTTACTGCTGTTCAGCTTCCTGAGCCCCAGCACAGAGCATTTCATGAGCTTTTGCCTCACACCCGGGCTGACACAGTCTTCGTTAACAAATGTCAGGCTGAGGTCTCCATCCTTGGAGGCATTTTCCAGTTGTGTCAAATAACCCGTTCTAACTAAGGCGGCAGCGAATTCCCAAAGAGAGGTGGCGCTGTTCCAAAAACTTGCAAGCTAAAAGTTTTGCAAGCTTTTTTTACATATCATACTTTGCTCTTCAGAGCAAACTTGGTCCTGCTTGATGTTTCAGCAGTGCCTAAGGCAACTGGTTTTGCCCCAAAAAGAAGAGACAACCAGCCACCAACAGCCAGCAAGCCACGAACCAGGTCCCTGCTAGACTCAACACGGGGAGTTCTGTGCACCCTTCTGGCAGATGGCAGATTGAGCAGGACATTCCTTTTCACCACAGCAGTTCACAGGGTAGAAGATGAATGTGATTTATTTCTCTTCTCCCTGCCTTTAGCTTCTGTCTGATAGAGCAGCAGGAAGCAAGGCAGAGAGAGATCCTCCAGATTACAAATCCAATTACAGTTGTCCTAACTGATTCTTGTCAGCTTTAAAGATGTTATTAAGACAGCAGAACAGTTCACCAAATGGGGCTGAGATGATGCTGTGGACACAGAGTAACAGATGCTCTTTACAGATTCTCAATTAATAAAACAAACCCCAAATGTCTACAAATACAGCTTTGTAAAACATTTACTAGCTTGCTCCAGAGAAAAAGCTGCCCAAATTGACATTCACAGCATTTAGACTTAAACAAAAAACAACGATGTTTTTGTGTTTAATATCTTGTTTTCTTCTAAGAAAGCCCACAAGACTGATAGAGATTACTGGAAACATGGAGTCTTTGATGGTTTCCACTAAGAAAGGAAGTAATTTCCATTCTTTCTCACAGTATTCTTACACAAGATGACATCTCATTTCCTTCAGGAACAACCTCACTAAAGAAAACAGGCCTGCATATGGCTTCACTCTGTCTTTCCATGTGTGGGATTCTCAGGGCTGAACACCAGAGGGGTTACATTTTGCTACAGGTACATGAACTTGGGAATGCCATGGCCCACCTCTCCTGGTGTCAGCACTGGATTCAAAGCCTGCTATGGTCCATGGCAAGGACTTTGCTGATGCAGGTGGGCTTTGGACCTCACTACCATTGTCCTGACATTTACACACAATTGAAAAAAAAACAAACCAGCAGAGAGAAAAGCTGTGTGCCAAACAAGCCTGTGGCTGCCACAGAAGCAGTCTACGCTTCAAAACCAAGAACACTGCTGTTCATACTAAACACTGCGTGTTTAAACACGTATCTTGTACCTCATATTTATTATTATGCAAAATAAACATGGGTTACAACTTTAAGAGACATTCTCCTGAATGTTAGCAGCTTCTGTGACTATGCATTAGCATTGAAGTCTGTTAGAGGAAATAGGAAGTGACGCCCATACCCATCTCAGAAAAGGGAAAAGAAAGCTAAAACAAATCTACTTGGTTTCTTAAAAGAAGTATCTCACAAAGGTGCCTGCACATTTGTCTAATAATAACTAACAGACAGCGAGAAGTAAACCCCAACAGACAGTAGCCTCCTGAC